ACATCCACAGATTGTTTCAAAAAAGAAAGCTGAGGATTTTGAGAGACAGAAGGTGGCACTTCTCAAAATGGCTGTTTTCTTTGGTACAGGTCTTTTGTCCCAACTTAATGTCATTATCAATCTATATCACATTTCAAGGTTTAAATGTCACAAAATTATTCTCTCTGATGTTTGAACCCAAGAGTCTAAAGTCAAAGGCGATATGTAAGACAATGATTGTGTTGATTAGTCATGCATATCGATACAAAATCTTTTGTAGATTGCTTTAAACTGTCCTGAACATTCACTGCATGCTTACCAATATGTAACTGGCTAGATGAAAGTGTGTGTTCAAGTGAAGAGTAGTCATCTTTTGATTTATACACCATCTGAAGCCCTCTGTTTTGGTTTTATTCCTAAATTTAAGTGTTTTGGTTCCTTGATGCCTTTACAGTGACATAATCTTTCTTAAACAACTAGAGTCAGTGGTGAGGCATGCTGGAGAGAGGGGAGAGGAAAGTTAGTCATTGTAGATATAAATTAATTAGAAGGGATGCATCATGCACATATTGAGGCAACTACATAAAAGTATATATTTATTACAATTACTTGCCCTATTTGGACTTATGCCTGAATTTATACTTTAGTGTCAAATATATGGATGAATGCCATGATACATGTTTCATTTTTTATTTAGATTTTGTATAAGCGTTGAGGATCCAAACTGCCACAAATAATCAGCTGTGTTCAAGTCCACATGGACCCTGGTGGACAGTGTGTGGTTCCTGAGAAATACCTCAGAAATAATTCTTCCCCCTGAAGTATCAGAAGTAGATCTAAACCATAGTTCATTATTATCTAACATCAGTGTATTTTAGATAGCAGTACAGAAAACTCATGAAGAATCCAATGAAAATTTACAGTGAAAGGAACTTGGTATTCACCAGAAGTTTATACTTACGTTATTTCTGTTTGTTTCAAGTCTTCTGGACAGATGCATGAAATGTAGAGCTGCCTGTGAAGGTGCTGAACTTGAGGTCAATAACAAAGCATGTGTTTGTTATGATTCATAGGTGGGAATTCACCATAAATGTGAAGGATGATTTGCCCAGGAAGGCAGAAAGACCTACTCTTAATGTGCTTGGCCAATCTGCTGAGAGAGATCTGTGTTGGATTGACATAGGAACACAGCAGCAGACATTGGAATCGGAATTCTTGTTGCACCAAGTGATGATAAAGGGATCTGTGAAATGATGCGGTATCTCCCCATCCCTTAAAAAAAAAGAGAAAAGATAATTTTGTGCAGATAGCAATAGTTTTCTTCCTTATTTCTGTATTTTATGTCCTGTCAACAGAGAAGTTGACTAGTTAATTCTGAATGAGGGAAAAGCTACACCCTCTACATAAGCTCCTAGAGGCATAAATATTATTTATAGCACTTCATTCTTATTTAACTGAGAGAAGTGCTAATAAATGCTCAAAATAAAGAGATTAGAAATGTGATTTAGCACAGTCAGGGATGATGGTTATTCATCAGCAATACCTATTCATTATTTTTATATTTATTTTTCTTAATTTTTCATTCACGTAGTTGCCTAAGAGACTGTTTTGCTATTAATACTTCAGGGAGGAGCAAATGCACACACTAAGGACTTGGATGAGTTTATGCTATCTGAATTTGCTAGAGATTATATTAAATAGCACAGTAGCTCAGGACAAGCTGATCACATTTCACAGCCTATTTCCCCATACTCCCTAAATGCTGATTTACCAAGAATGAAATGCATGTACACATACACTGGAGCATATGTTAAAGCTGTGCTAAACATTTTTCATGTAACTTCCAGCTGGCAACATTTTGCCAGAAAGCCTGGTACTTAGAAATGATAAATAAATAAAGAAAACAAACAGAAACTTGTGTTGTAATAAAGAGACAATGGAACAGCTGCAGGGCATGGAGTAAATTCAGCTTGACTTGTTGTGGACACAGTGGCTGGATTTTACCCAAGAGATATTAGCAACATTCAGATTCCTAAGGGGAAGACTGGAGTGGGAAGAAGGGATCTCACTGGGAGGTCTCTTAGCACATTTGGAAAAATAAACACAGAAACGATGAAAAATAATATTTAAGCAGCAAAATCAGCATATGCTGTCCTCCTGTAGTATGTTAAAAAAACATGAACTTGTCTTGGGAAGAAAAAATAATTAACAGAGCTTTGTTTTGTTTTATTTTGTTTGGAGGGAGAATAGGAACAAGATGGAGGGGATCTGGATCTTGGGAAGGCAAACTTTATGACAACAGCCACAAGTGAAGAAAAGAGAAACAGTGAAGGTAAGGAAGGAGAGCAAGAGCAAAGAGGGTGTATCAAGTATGCTTCTAAAGGGTGCTACTCATTAAAAGAAAACACCTCAAATCTTCTTTAATTATATTTGTAAAGGCAAAAGTAACACATAACACAAATGCTTCTGTCATGAAAACATTTCAGTTCAAGCAAAATTTGAGAAAAGTTCCTTAGCATCA